AAATTTCCATTTGGTTCTTTTTTTAAAATAGTTTCCATTTCTTTGTTAAGATTTCGTACCTATTACTTATTACGCTCATTTTCCCCTTTAAATCATGGAGCATATTTACAATAGCTATTTCAAAATATTCATCTGATAATTCCAGTTTTGGTGTAATTTCTGGGTCTTTTTTAGTCTTATTTCTTACTCTTAATTATACGTCACATTTCTGTTTTCTTGTATGTCTAGTAACTTTTGAATCTATGCTGGACACTATGATATGACTTTTTGAAGGTATGGATTATGTTTTTTTCATTTAAAGGGTATTGACTTTTATTCTGAAGTGCAATTGATTTACTAGACGCTAGTCTTGACAATGTTGAGACTTGGTTTTAAGCTTTGTTAGGGAAGATACAGAGTAGCTAGAGTACCCCTGCTCCTAGGGCATGAACTTTCTGAAGTCTCATCCGAATATCTGGGGTGTTCAACAAGGTCTCTTTATTCTTGACAGTCAGAACCCCAATATCTTGCAACACTGTATAACTTCTGGAATCTCTACTCAGCTCACAGACACCCAGGAGGTGTTTTTGTCTAACCCTTGTGGAGTCTCATTCTGTGCATTTGCAGGTAGTATTGAGCCAATGATTCAATTGTATCCCCACAAAATTTCTGGTGCTGCTTTTCTCCACAGCAGCAAATTCCAGTCATTGCAAAAGCCCTATATTCTCATCTCTGTTTCCCTTGTCCAGTGAGACCACAACTCTCTGGCCTTGTGCTGTGGTTTGGGAAATGCCCTCTGACAGACAGCCAAAGTGTGGAGATAGATCATCTCATGCTTTCATCTTCTCAAGGATTATGAACAATGCTTAAAAATGTTGCCTCATATATTTAATCTATTTAAGTACAACATCTGATTTTTTATTTTGCCCAGAATTTGAACTCTCCTATTCTCTGTACAGTATTTTGTGTGAAGCATCCACTTGTCTTTGTAACTCCAATTAATTTTAGTAAATTGTTACAATAAATAGAGTAACATACATTTAGGTTCCATGTAAACACACAGAACAAGAAATGGTACAAATTGCTGAAGGCCAATGTTAGTTATCTCACTCTACATTACTAGTGGGGATTCAAGAATGGTTACCAAAGGCATCCTCATTGTTAGACCTTGTTATTAACCAGAGAGTTTAAAGTTAGTGATGATGAAATTGCTATTATTTTGGATTTTTGTCTTACATATTGAAGAATAATTCCATTTATAAGATACATTAGGTCTATTAATAGTGAATTACTAATACTAAGACAGGTGAGTGGTTTATCTATGCTGGGGAATGTCATGGTGATAGGAAATTTTAGTGGAATATCTTACAAGACAGAAAAAAGAGAACATAGGAAACCAAACTAACAAAGACACTAAAACCTAAAAAATGAGGCCAAATTAATAGAAAAAGATTATGTAATGCTAATAAAATGAAATTTTAGTACATGACATTTTCATGAAAAGTGCTTGATTCTGAGACATGTAATTTAAATTCTGCTGACAAAGAAATGCCAGCTGTGAGTATGTCAGAATAACCGGCTGACAGGCAGGGGCTGGACAACTGCACTCTTAGGTTAGAATCATCTTGGAAGTAGCTC